TCGCCGCCGCCGCTGCTCCCGAGTCCTCCTCGTTCCGCGCATGTGACTCGCACCCCGACCTCGCTTCTGTCAACAACGCATCCGTACATTCCTCCGAACCTCGGGCGTGCATTGCCGATCGATCGCACCGACACAGCATCGCCCCACTCCCACGCTAGCTCCTTTCGCTCTCCCCGTACAGCAAGTCCGCCCTGTCGCTTGCACATCCCTCTTCGCCCACGCCCAAAACCGGTCCATCTCGACCCGGTCTCGCTGCGACCATCGTCATCATTCACCAGCATAGCCTCAATCGGCTCGTCGATGCACCCTCCGAGCACCCCAGCTCCTCTCCCATCCGTCCACCATCAACATCAACGGCAATACTTTAGCGCGCCAACTTTTGTTGCATCCACCATCCTCATAACCATCAGCCGCGGGCCCGCCGCCCATACGACACCAGTACCGCGTCCTGCACCGCTTCGACGCCAAAGATTTGAGCGGTCCACCTCCTTGGACTGCACCGTAATCCAACCGCAGCACGACCGGGTCCAGCGATCTCACGCCGTGATCAAAAGCTGACCTCAATGCCTCCCTTCGCAACCATCTCGCTTCCGATTCCTTCCTTTCAGACCGAAGAGCCCAGCCCCCTGACGCCCGGCTCCGACACTTCGACGCTCTTCGAGTTCGAGCTCGACGATCCTTTCAAATCGTCTCTGGACTCGGGCAAAGACTTCGAGCCTGCTTCACCTTCTCACCACCTCCCGGAACCTTTGGAAGAGCAAGGCGCTCGCAGCGCACGCTCCATCCCGTCTCGACACCTCAGGTATCTCGAGCGCATCGAAAAGGTGCTAGCAACCGAGCTCAATCCCTTCGACCTCATCGCCTACTCCGACTCGGACCACAGTACCATCGGTGCGCCCGATTGCCATCCTCGTCCCGCCGGGGCTCGCTGCAACGACGCCACCCTTCCCACACGCGTCGACATGCAGAACACCGGCACCTCGAGTACACAACACCACTTCAATGACCCCGCCCAGCAGCAGGTGCTCACCGACAATGCCTACAGCGGAGCATTCTACGATCCATCCTCCGCCGATGGCTACAGCGCGCCAACTCAGACCAGCTTCCTGAGCGCAGCGCCGGCATCCTCCTCCTCCAGCCTTTCTCAGCCATCCCCCGCCGCATCCTCATCCGACCTCAATCATCTCGGAGCTCCGAACGCCTTTCGCGACAATAATGTCAACCCAAGTCCGCTCTCCAGCCCCTACCTCGGGGCGATATCTCCAGCGGGCTCGCACCATCGCTCCGGCTCTCACAGCTCCGAGGCGACGAGCCCGCCTCAATTTGGCAGAGGCTTCATCTCGGACCCGGCACTGTCTCAGACTGTAGGCCAGATCGGTCAAATTCGCCTCGACGAGGATCAGCGCTACCCACCCACTTTTGACGAAAGCTCGGACTACGCCGGCTCGCCCGCAAATCAGGCCGCTACCAGCTCGCAAGGCGCAGACAGCTCGACGTTTCCGTCGACAAATAACCAAATGTTCGGCGGCAGACCCGCTGGTAGCACCCCGCAGCTCACCTTGGGCATCCCCACCGTCTCGGTCTCTGGCAGCTCGATGGACTTTACGCCAATCGCCGCAACCGCTGACACCGCGATGCCCAGCATCAACGTTATGGCGCCTTCGCCCTCGACGCCAAGAGCCATGGGTGCGCACGGTCAATCGGGCGGTTTCCAGGAGGTCCTTGCTCAGCTAGTCGCCTCTCACGCCGCTACCTCGGGCATCTCTGCGCCATCGAATCGGCCCGATGCGTCTAGTAGCTGGCTTCAGTCCGATCAGCCCTTGACCATGCACAACGAGCCATTCAGCTATGCCTCGACCCCGAGCGCAACCGTCGAGGCTCAGCAGCCATCGTCGAACGAGCAGCCTTTCCGACCGAACTCGGCTAGCGGTCGACTGGTTCCCGAAGGGTACACGACCGAGTCGGCTCAGATGATGTCGACCTTGGCTGGCAACCCGCAGCGCAATCCTGCCGTGCACGCGCCCGGCCAGTGGTCGAGCCAGGCCAAGCGTCAGGACTCGTACGACAAGATCCGGCAGTTCTTGCGTTTGGACGTTGACATGGGATTCCAGTCGACGGGCAAGACCGAGTCTCCCACGCTCGCCATGTTCCGCAAACGTGCCAACTCGGATATAGGTCCAAGATCACCAGTGGTCGGCGGCGATGCGGGAGCATCAGGTACTGCGTTCGACTGGTCGCTTGCTGCCACCAACGCCTCCAACGCGAAGGACCAGGACGGCCTCGACATCGACTGGACGAATTTGAAAACAGACCCGACAGGCTTCCAAGGTGCATCAACCGAGCTGCTCGGCTCCACTCAGCCGGCGACGATGAACCCGGCTCTACTAAGCAATGCCCAGCTTCCTGTCGACCTCTCGCAGGCTTTTGATCCTAGCAACGCTGCTCTTCTGGCCAGCTGGCATCAGCAACAAGCCCTCATGCATGAACAGCAACAGCAGCAGCATCAGCAGCCGTACCAGCAGCAGCAACAACAACAACAACAACAACAACA